ACTAAAACTTGTATTATATATTCTAATTAAAACAAATATTACATCAAAGATGTTATCACAGATGTTATAACATCACATGAGCATCAAAGATACAAATAAGGGGAGACTAAAGCAAATAATAAAGAAAACGACATTGGCTATAAATTATGACAAATAACTTACTGTTATACAGTGAACAGTTGAGCAGCTAAACCATTAATATTGAGGAGAGGCCGCAGCTCCCTCATATATAAGGCTTCCATTACACACAGAAATCACATTAGCGTGACGCATCAAATGAACAAATCCACAAGGGCCGTGACGAGGATTCGAACCTGCGTCCGGGAGCATCCCAGCATTCAGTCTATTAGAGGCACCGTCTGGGATGCTCTCGGACGTAGGTTCGAATCCTCGTCACGGCCCTTGTGGATTTGTTCATAAGGATTCCATTATTCTCCGACCCGACTGACCGTTAATGCAAGTGTCTAAAGTTTTAAAATCGGGTTCCAGCAGAGAATGATTCGCCTCATTATAGTAATTACGAGGAAATAATTTATAGTAATTTTGGGGAAATAAGCAGCCCAGGACTGGTCACAGGAGCTCCACAGGAGCCTCTAGGAAAACCCACACCCCAGAAGGATTCGAACCCAGATAGCCAGGAGCGCTATGCACCTTGGCGTACCTGGTATCTTAACCATGTCCGAGTTGACACTCGAACGCTGTAGGATCTTGAGTGAAATAGTCTCACGACTACTAAGATTTTTGTACAGTTGTGTGGTCTAGTGGTGTGTGTTCACCTAGTTGTGTTCACCTAGTTGTGTTCACCTAGTTGTGTTTGCGGGGGTTGAGCTTTGCTCTTTCGGCCCACCTCTCAGCTGTCAATCAACTGTTTACTAACTACTTTTTTTCCACACCACAAAAACACACACACACACACACACACACACACACACACACACACACACACACACACACACACACACACACACACACACACAAACACATCCCAGGAAGCAGCCCGTGACAGCTGACTAACTCCCAGGTACCTATTTACTGCTAGGTAACAAGGAGCATTCAGGGTGAAAGAAACTTTGCCCATTTGTTTCTGCCTCGTGCGGGAATCGAACCCGCGCCACAGAATTACGAGTCCTGCGCGCTATCCACCAGGCTATGAGGCCCCTAGCCTCGTGTGTGTGTGTGTGTGTGTGTGTGTGTGTGTGTGTGTGTGTGTGTGTGTGTGTGTGTGTGTGTGTTTCTGTGTGTGTGAAAAAAAACCGACTGACTGTCAGTTGTAAGGCGGGCCCAAAGAGCCAGAGCTCAACCCCCTCAAGCACAACTGCTGAACACTAATGCCACTATGTAAACAATGCCTCTAACACTGTTTATGTTGTGACGTAAGACTGTGTATATATGTATACAAGTTACATTACCATTTTAAAAGCACTACAATCACCTTCTGTGGTTGATTGTTCAATAAACCCTTGAACTATATGTTTAACACATCTCTCACCCTGTCCATGGAGGACAGAAGAAAATGTATATATGCTGGTTAGCATTGTAAATGCCCGGCCACGTCTGTGGTAGAAAATAAAGCACTGGATATAGAGGTAGTGAGGATAGAGCTGTATGAAGCTCTATCAGATGGTCTGGTAGAGCTGCCCTCCAACACAAGACCTTGGAACACAACACAATTTAAAAACTTCTATATGTATTTTATAGTTATTTAATAACAAAATATTTAAAATTAAAAAAATACAAATTATTTTTAAAACAGTGCATTTCCTGACAGTATATTTATTACTTAATTACTTATAAAGCCAGTTTATAAGTGTCTCGACAGTACAGGACAATCGGAAATAGTGGTTTCGAATCCCGGCAAGACATGAATAACTGGACACGTTCCCTATCACCTCGTGCTTCTGTTCACCCTAGCATTAAATAGGTGAGAAAATAAATAGATGTCACTGGGGACTCTTAAGCCTCACTACTGTGATTTCTTTGTGGTTTGAACAGGTATCCGGGAGACAGTAAGCTGTTGTGGGTAGCATCCTTATAAAGGTCAGTAGTTCCACCTTAAGGGCCCTCTATATAAGCCTAATGTATATATAATGGCTCTAATTACGTGGTGGTTTTGGAGTTTGTTGTTGTTGTTGTTAAAGATTCGCTACCTGGAACAAAGTTCCAAGTAGCACGGGCTATGGCGAGCCCGTGCTACTTGGAGCCCGTGCAACAAGGAGGCAGGAACCCTACAAGACATTGCTCGAGGACCTCAGAAGATGCGTCAACAAATTCCTGTTTTATCCAGGAATGCATTTACATTTTTACACAAAAATTTATAAACAAATAGCCGAAGACAACAGCAAAATATCTGCGTATTCCATGAGAGAATTAAATTACTAAAACTTTTTAAATACATTTTAAGCAGTAGCAGAACACCTTGTGTTCCAGATCACCTGACTGCTCACACCTACAAGACATATATACACCGTCAAGTGTAACCAGCTTGTATATATACACTGGTGTATATATACACTAGTGTATATATATCCTGGGAGTATACTGTAGTCCTGGACTAGGTTCCCGACTAGACTCTTCTTGCTAGTGGTTCACTAAGCTATTGTGGTTGTCTTAACAACCCTCCAGAGGTTGACAGGCCCAAAATAAGCTACCGCCGGCAATGTTGCACAAGTTATATAACCGGATTTTATCTTATTTACTTGCATACTTTTTTTTACCACGTTATATTGACATTCTTAAGAAAAAGCGAGTAATTTGACAGTTTTATTGCTAACCTGTTTTTATTAGTTATCATCTTCACATTACTCCCTGATCCAACTAATTTTATTGACACTGGTTTCAGGTGGACAGGAAATATCTTCACTACATGTCCTCATACTTAGAACACCGAAATTTCGACGTTATAGACCAAAGTGTTAAAATTCCGGCTGTATTGTGCAATTTAAAACACCTAAAAATTAACGTATCATCTGACAGTGGGACATCAGACTAGTGATTAGGTCGGGCTGGAGTGGCTATCTGGGCCCCTTAAGTGGTTAGTGACCAACCACCAGGTATACTCCAGCCCTCAACATAGTCCAGCACTAAAGTAAACTCAATGTATGTTCAACGAGAAGACTGGGAATACCTCTGTGAGTAGCGGTATACCTGTGAGCGGTGTAAGGTAACCCAAGAGGTAGAGTATGACGAGGTAAACTATTATGCTAAGTGACTGAACACCTGGTGGATCAGAAGAGCAGTCTGCGTGCCCTCAGGACACGGTGGTAGGGGTCAGAGCAGCAGTCTGAGTGCCCTCGGGGTAAACCATAAAATGCTGGGGGGGGGGGAGCTCCTAGCAGCGTGACTCATCCTGTGAGTGGACACACCGCCATAGTGACAGTATTGGGCAGCGTCACTCATCCTGTGAGTGGACACACCGCCATAGTGACAGTATTGGGCAGCGCCACTCATCCTGTGAGTGGACACACCGCCACAGTGACAGTATTAGGCAGCGCCACTCATCCTGTGAGTGGACACACCGCCATAGTGACAGTATTGGGCAGCGCCACTCATCCTGTGAGTGGACACACCGCCATAGTGACAGTATTGGGCAGCGTCACTCATCCTGTGAGTGAACACACCGCCACAGTGACAGTATTGGGCAGCGCCACTCATCCTGTGAGTGGACACACCACCACAGTGACAGTATTGGGCAGCGTCACTCATCCTGTGAGTGGACACACCACCACAGTGACAGTATTAGGCAGCGCCACTCATCCTGTGAGTGGACACACCGCCATAGTGACAGTATTGGGCAGCGTCACTCATCCTGTGAGTGAACACACCGCCACAGTGACAGTATTGGGCAGCGCCACTCATCCTGTGAGTGGACACACCACCACAGTGACAGTATTGGGCAGCGCCACTCATCCTGTGAGTGGACACACCACCACAGTGACAGTATTGGGCAGCGTCACTCATCCTGTGAGTGGACACACCGCCACAGTGACAGTATTGGGCAGCGCCACTCATCCTGTGAGTGGACACACCACCACAGTGACAGTATTGTGCAGCGTCACTCATCCTGTGAGTGGACACACCACCACAGTGACAGTATTGGGCAGCGCCACTCATCCTGTGAGTGGACACACCACCACAGTGACAGTATTGGGCAGCGTCACTCATCCTGTGAGTGGACACACCGCCACAGTGACAGTATTGGGCAGCGCCACTCATCCTGTGAGTGGACACACCGCCATAGTGACAGTATTGGGCAGCGTCACTCATCCTGTGAGTGGACACACCACCACAGTGACAGTATTGGGCAGCGCCACTCATCCTGTGAGTGGACACACCACCACAGTGACAGTATTGGGCAGCGCCACTCATCCTGTGAGTGGACACACCGCCATAGTGACAGTATTGGGCAGCGTCACTCATCCTGTGAGTGGACACACCACCACAGTGACAGTATTGGGCAGCGTCACTCATCCTGTGAGTGGACACACCGCCATAGTGACAGTATTGGGCAGCGCCACTCATCCTGTGAGTGAACACACCGCCATAGCAGCATGTACACCCCCCCCCCCCCAAGGAAGAACACCCACTGTGCTGTTCATCCTGCCACTTGTACCCAGACACAGTTGGGACTTGTTCAACTTTCTCAAGTGAACAAATCATTGAACAAAAAAATAAACATTTACTAACCGTATCTTACAGTATCTGGCGGCCGCTAAGTGAAGAAGCTATTAAGAAAAGTATCAATGGTTCAGAGATAATATTTCCCAAACTTAACAATGTTGGATTTATAATTGTACTCATATACGTAAAATGTCTTAGTTGGACATAACCTCTTAGGCTGTTCGCTCCTCAGCTGTCGTTTCCATCTCGAATCTCTATGAGTACTTGTCTCCAAGACGAACTGTCGCCACTACCGATTCTCACCCTTATAATGACTGGTGTTGCTGCTTCATTGTACCAGCGGACAGATTCACTAACTTGTGCTTCTCTGCTCCTTTCCTCAGTTACCTCGTCACGGAACTGCTGCTTGATGATAATTTTAACTTGAGGAAGAATCTTGGGGATGAAGTATTCAATATGGTCTCCTTCAGCAGCCAGTACATCTGATCCTTCGTTTCCACAGATTTCAACGTGGGATCAGGTTCCACCAGAACCTGATCACCCATGTCTATTATTATCCTGGCGCATTGTAGTGGTAACTGCAGACTGCCTATTATTGTCCTAGAGCATTGTAGTGGTAACTGCAGACTGCCTATTATTGTCCTAGAGCATTGTAGTGGTAACTGCAGACTGCCTATTATTGTCCTAGAGCATTGTAGTGGTAACTGCAGACTGCCTATTATTGTCCTAGAGCATTGTAGTGGTAACTGCAGACTGTATTATTGTCCTAGAGCATTGTAGTGGTAACTGCAGACTGCCTATTATTGTCCTAGAGCATTGTAGTGGTAACTGCAGACTGCCTATTATTGTCCTAGAGCATTGTAGTGGTAACTGCAGACTGCCTATTAAGCCATACGAGGCAGCTACTATTTTAACCACCCAAATCACCGCTCCTTTTGTGAGTCTTTCTAGGTATGTTAATTTAATAACGTAACAATAACAGTTAACTCGGCTTGTGTTGAGGAAGCATTGTTCTCAACACTGGTTCTCTCTTCGTCATGTTGTCAGATTCACATGACTCTGATGTCTAGCCTATAATAATGATGTTTAGTTCTCTCTGATGTCTAGTTTGTTTGGTATCATTGGAAAGACCAACTCCCTTCTCTCTCTCACCCATATAGCTACCATATCTACTTTATAAACTGATCATAATGTCTGGCTCGATACCGATAGATTGTAGCTTACGTGAAACCCAGCAGCACGATTGTAATGTAATCCTCATTCAACCAATCCAGATTAGTTACAATCGACTGATTTTATTTAATTCTAAACCAGTTTGATATTTCTATTGGTGAAAAATCTAAGCATAAAATAATGTCAAATTATCCTAATCTATTAACTCGGAATAAGATACATGACGATACTGACGATACAGTACGATACTGTGTCTAAACTGTAATGTAATTAAATATATTATTTCTAAAATATAATTACCCAATGACATGATAATTTCTAACATGTAATTAATTATTGCATAAAAGCACACTCTCTAAACTAAGACAGCTAATTAGCATACCTCTTATAACAACTAATTACCCAATTACTGCCATGAAATATCACATGAAATATCAGACGCAATTTGAGGGCAAACTTACATATAATATTTATAGGCGTGAGCAATGAGGAAATATATTAGTCAGTGTAATACTAACAGTGTAATCTAGTCAGTGTAATACTAACAGTGTAATCTAGTCAGTGTAATACTAACAGTGTAATCTAGTCAGTGTAATACTAACAGTGTAATCTAGTCAGTGTAATACTAACAGTGTAATCTAGTCAGTGTAATACTAACAGTGTAATCTAGTCAGTGTAATACTAACAGTGTAATCTAGTCAGTGTAATACTAACAGTGTAATCTAGTCAGTGTAATACTAACAGTGTAATCTAGTCAGTGTAATACTAACAGTGTAATCTAGTCAGTGTAATACTAACAGTGTAATCTAGTCAGTGTAATACTAACAGTGTAATCTAGTCAGTGTAATACTAACAGTGTAATCTAGTCAGTGTAATACTAACAGTGTAATCTAGTCAGTGTACAGTAATATTAACGAAAGTCTAATAATAATATTAACGAGCGTTAGTACAATGTTAATTATATTTAGTGTAATGGCGAGAATCAGTATAATATTAACAAGAGTCAGTGTAACGTTAACAAGAGTCAGTGTAACATTAACAAGAGTCAGTGTAATGTTAACAAGAGTCAGTGTAACATTAACAAGAGTCAGTGTAATATTAACAAGAGTCAGTGTAACATTAACAAGAGTCAGTGTAATATTAACAAGAGTCAGAGTAATATTAACAAGAGTCAGTGTAACATTAACAAGAGTCAGTGTAATATTAACAAGAGTCAGTGTAACATTAACAAGAGTCAGTGTAATATTAACAAGAGTCAGAGTAATATTAACAAGAGTCAGTGTAATGTTAACAAGAGTCAGAGTAATGTTAACAGGAGTCAGTGTAATATTAACAAGAGTCAGTATAACATTAACAAGAGTCAGTATAATATTAACAAGAGTCAGTATAATATTAACAAGAGTCAGTGTAATATTAACAAGAGTCAGTATAATATTAACAAGAGTCAGTATAATATTAACAAGAGTCAGTATAACATTAACAAGAGTCAGTATAACATTAACAAGAGTCAGTGTAATATTAACAAGAGTCAGTATAATATTAACAAGAGTCAGTATAACATTAACAAGAGTCAGTATAATATTAACAAGAGTCAGTATAATATTAACAAGAGTCAGTATAACATTAACAAGAGTCAGTATAACATTAACAAGAGTCAGTGTAATATTAACAAGAGTCAGTATAATATTAACAAGAGTCAGTATAACATTAACAAGAGTCAGTATAATATTAACAAGAGTCAGTATAATATTAACAAGAGTCAGTATAATATTAACAAGAGTCAGTGTAATATTAACAAGAGTCAGTATAATATTAACAAGAGTCAGTATAATATTAACAAGAGTCAGTATAATATTAACAAGAGTCAGTATAATATTAACAAGAGTCAGTGTAATATTAACAAGAGTCAGTATAATATTAACAAGAGTCAGTATAATATTAACAAGAGTCAGTGTAACATTAACAAGAGTCAGAAGACTCTTGTTAATCTCCATGAGTCAATGTTAACAAAAAGTTAACAACAAAAAGTTAACAACATTAACAAAAAGTAATTTCAGTATAATCCCCCCCAAAAATTAAACTAAATATACATAGAAAATACACAATGTCCCCCTCCCCCCCCCCCCCCGCTCCAAAGCACTTCGAACGTTCCAAATTCTACAATTAAGATTTAATTCCATGTTCGTATACCACCAGCCGCGGCACCTGGAGCCGTGTCGTTCCTCAACGCTCAGAAGCGGTTGTGCGGGTTATGCACATGCTGGTGCACAGTACCTGGGAGGTGTTGAGCACCGCGTGCAGGCGCTCCTCGCGCTCTCCTGTAGCGTCTGGCCGATGGTACAGTGCTTAGAGTGCTCTAGCGTGGTGCACGGGCGCTCTAGAGCCTCTCGTGGATGTATGGGTGCTCTATGGAGCCTATCGTGGATGTGTGGGTGCTCTATGGAGCCTCTCGTGGATGTGTGAGTGCTCTATAGAGCCTCTCGTGGATGTGTGAGTGCTCTATAGAGCCTCTCGTGGATGTGCGCGTGCTCTATGGAGCCTCTCGTGGATGTGTGCGTGCTCTATGGAGCCTCTCGTGGATGTGTGGGTGCTCTATGGAGCCTCTCGCGGATGTGTGGGTGCTCTATAGAGCCTCTCGTGGATGTGTGGGTGCTCTATAGAGCCTCTCGTGGATGTGTGGGTGCTCTATAGAGCCTCTCGTGGATGTGTGGGTGCTCTATAGATGGATGTGTGGGTGCTCTATAGAGCCTCTCGTGGATGTGTGGGTGCTCTATAGAGCCTCTCGTGGATGTGTGGGTGCTCTATAGAGCCTCTCGTGGATGTGTGGGTGGGTGCTCTATAGAGCCTCTCGTGGATGTGTGGGTGCTCTATAGAGCCTCTCGTGGATGTGTGGGTAGAGCTCTATAGAGCCTCTCGTGGATGTGTGGGTGCTCTATAGAGCCTCTCGTGGATGTGTGGGTGCTCTATAGAGCCTCTCGTTGATGTGTGGGTGCTCTATAGAGCCTCTCGTGGATGTGTGGGTGCTCTATAGAGCCTCTCGTGGATGTGTGGGTGCTCTATAGAGCCTCTCGTGGATGTGTGGGCGCTCTATAGAGCCTCTCGTGGATGTGTGGTTGCTCTATAGAGCCTCTCGTGGATGTGTGTGTGCTCTATAGAGCCTCTCGTGGATGTGTGTGTGCTCTATAGAGCCTCTCGTGGATGTGTGAGTGCTCTATAGAGCCTCTCGTGGATGTGTGGGTGCTCTATAGAGCCTCTCGTGGATGTCTGGGTGCTCTATAGAGCCTCTCGTGGAAGTGTGGGTGCTCTATAGAGCCTCTCGTGGATGTGTGAGTGCTCTATAGAGCCTCTCGTGGATGTGTGGGTGCTCTATAGAGCCTCTCGTGGATGTGTGGGTGCTCTATAGAGCCTCTCGTGGATGTGTGGGTGCTCTATAGAGCCTCTCGTGGATGTGTAGGTGCTCTATAGAGCCTCTCGTGGATGTGTGGGTGCTCTATAGAGCCTCTCGTGGATGTGTCGTGGATGTGTGGGTGCTCTATAGAGCCTCTCGTGGATGTGTGGGTGCTCTATAGAGCCTCTCGTGGATGTGTGTTGCCAGCGACGGTCCTCGATGCCACCTACCTGGAAAACAGACAAACAGACATTAGCAACCTCTAGAATACAGCAGAGTAACAATAAACAATCTCTAGAATACAGTAGAGTAACAATAAACAACCTCTAGAATACAGTAGAGTAACAATAAACAACCTCTAGAATACAGTAGAGTAACAATAAACAACCTCTAGAATACAGTAGAGTAACAATAAATACAGTAACTGGAGGCTGACCCTCATGGCTGCACTATGCAGAACACAGCTCACAATAGTGTGACTGAACACAAATAACCCAAGCAACACGTAACAAAAGGTGACGTCACTTTCATTGTTCATGTGTAGGTTTGTTTACATATACACACACACCTAACACTAGGTACGATATATATATATATATATATATATATATATATATATATATATATATATATATATATATATATATATATATATATATATATATATATATATTGGTGTATACTGGCAGCAGGTTTTCTTTTAAACATGTTTCATTGAATATGACCGCATATTCTGTATTTACTATCTTCTGATTTAGGGCTTCTATCCCTCTATTATCTTTATTCGGACTAACTATTCGGAAGTCTTCTTGGTTTTGTAGAATATTATCAGGTTTATGTTTTGGTTAGGAGTAATGCTTTTTACTCCTTTATTGATTAATTCTTTCATTATTCTTTCTTCTTTTATATGTTCACTGTGCATGGTTGATTTGTAGTATAATTTTATTGGAGGTGTTGTGGTTTCTGTTCTAGGTTCAGGATTATACCAACGGTCCAAGTGTCTTCTTATAGCAGCGTTTATTTCCGCGTTGCTATATCCGTTGTTCACCAATGCCTGAGTTAAGAACATAAGAACAAAGGTAACTGCAGAGGGCCTATTGGCCCACACGAGGCAGCTCCTATCTATAACCACCCAATCCCACTCATATACTTGTCCAACCCGCGCTTGAAACAATAGAGGGAC